CCCAAGTCGATTTTCTTATCTTACTGTAGCTCTGAGGATCCTCAAGTGTATAAGCGAGCTTGGGAGGGAAGATCATTAATTGTGGAGGTTAACAAGGAGGAGTGATGCCCCTTTGCACATTCCCCCTCCCAAAGAAAAGAATTGGGTAGAGAGAGACAGAGAAGAGGTAGGTGTCTCCAGATGCACTTCGAACAATTGTTGGCAAAAGTATTGCAGTGGACCTTGTTAGCGCAACAGGAGATGTTGAAGAAGGAAGATATGGTCACTGTGGCACATTGCTTTGGTCACAATCCAGGCTATTGACACATGCTCCAGATGGGGCTGTCCTTGGGGAATGTTTGGAAACTGCAATTGACGCAGAATGCTGTCCCCTAATATAGAAAGTAGCTGAGGGTTCCTAGAAGAGGCAGGGCATAAGAACACAAGAAGAGCCCTGCTGGATCAGGCCAGGGATCTATCTGATACAGCTTTCTGTTCACGCAGTTGCCAACCAGATGTGTATGAAAAACTGGCAAGAAGGATGTTATACCCTTGTGCAAATTAATTGAAACAAACAATGTAGTTTATAGTACAAAACTCACATATACATGTACAAAGCTCACATATACGTACATTAGTAACGAATATGACCTCCGCTGTTTTTAAGCAGAATTTGAACACAGTTTGGCATGGAGTCTACTAGTTTCAAACAGTCACTGATGATTTTCGGATCCCTGTACCACACTTGAATCAGCGTCTGAATGAGCTTCACCATAGTCGTACAGTCTACAGCACGGAGGCGACTTTTGCATATAGCCCTCTAATTCTCAATGGGATTTATGTCCTGGGATTTCCCTGCCCAATTAAGTACCTGTATTTGCTGCTCTGTCATGAATTTCTTCACCACTTTTGATGTGTGACGGGGCTAGGTCCTGCTGCAATATCCCAGTACCGTCAGGATACCTCTTTCCCAGCTCTGGAATAACTATTTCATAGAACCTCAATATATTGTGGTGAGTGCATCATTCCTTCTATTGGCTACAGGCTCCCGATACCATAATGATCAACTGACTTTTGTTTTGAGTACAGGATTACGAGTAAGATAGAAAACATGCTTTGTTTCAATTAATTTGCAAAAGCGTGTAGGTGCACAGACCAGATGTGGCCCTCAGAGCCACTCTATCTGGACCTCAGGACTCTCCCCAACCATCCATCCCCTTCCTAGATTACCCCCTTCAGCCTTGCTTCACATCTTCCTTGAGAATTTTTGCCCAGATGGAATGCACCCTTCAACTCTGATAATGACTCTTTGCTTCCCTGGATGGAAGGTAGAGATGTGGGCATGTCTGTAGAAATCACAGAGTACTACACAAAGGTAAAATTTACATCTCTTGCACCACACCCATGTTTGCCACTGGCCCTGCTAACCAAGGGCATTTATTGTTTAAAAAGAGAAACAGAATTTTTATACAGCTTAACCATAAACCCTACTAAGCATTTTGCATAGAATATACATTAAAATGATCAATGAAAAGGCAGAAGAAAGAAGTTCACTTTTTAAAAAAAAATCAAAGAAACATAAGCAAAATCAGCAGGTGTAGAATGAACATTATAGGGCCCTTGTTAAATTGCTCGATCCACAGATCAAAGTGATCGAGTGGTTCTTGAAAGGTTGCCAGAAGAGAATGTGGCTGGGAAAGATTCCTCACCCGTAACTTATGAGGATCACCTGCTTTTCTGGCTGAGCTGTAATAAGCCAGTTAAACGATAACACTGAAAGCAAAGTAAACCCCATCTTCACAAGGCCTTTAAAAAAAAAAAAAAAGCTGTCCATAATAAGCAAAACTGCTTGACAGGAATCTGAAACTAGGATCTGATTTCTCCTCCACCTGTGTCTGAAAACAGAAAACGAAATAATAAGAGGTGGAGAGGTCTGTTTGATGGTTGCTACATCCCTTTATTCTCCAGAACTGAGCCAGATCACTTTGGTACTTTGGTGCTTTGCTGAATCTCCTAACAATAGTGCAAGCGCTTTGAACTTGTGAGCGTTTCAGAGCCACTCTGCATGAAGGGGAGTGATTTGATGCCATTCACATCTGAAGGCACACGTGTACACAAGGGGGGGCAAGGGACACATGAAAGAAACCTTACCCTCAGGTCAACATCATTCTATGGGGTAAGCTGCCTTTGAAGCTTGGCTTCCTGAGTTTGAACTATTGATTTGAACTAAACAGCCACACTTTCATCTAAAAAAGGAGAGAGCTGCACGTTCATTCCTCTACATGCTGAAAGAAGGTTCAGACTGGTGCAGAACCATAGGGACAAGTTCTAACTAGGGATGGATAAATGTCTCTTTTTCCCCCAATCCCCCCTCCAAATCTCAAGTTCAGTTCTGCACATTTCCGCATCAGTTTGCAATTTATGTTTTGAAGAAACACACTCCTGAAAATTCATCCACATTTTACTGTGAATTTCTCCCGATAGCCAAGATACACATTTTGCAAAATGATTTCCTGCTATGTAATGCATTTTGCTATTTCCAGAACTATTTGGATTTTGATATTTTCGTCTTACGATATATGCATATTTGCACATATTACTAGTGTAACCCTAGAGGTCCCGGGCCCTAAGGAAGTTAGATTAGCCTCAACCAGAGCCAGGGCCTTCTCAACACTGGCTCCGGCCTGGTGGAATGCTTTGTCTCTTGAGACCAGGGCCCTGCGGGATCTGATCTCTTTCCCCAGGGCCTGTAAGACCGAGTTGTTCCATCTGGCCTTTGGCTTAGAATCAGTTTGATTCCCTCTCCCTCTTTCTTTTTCCTTTCTCCTCCTATGAAGAGATTGCTCCCTAATTGTTTTAATGTTATATCGTAATTCTTTTAAATTGTATTTTAATCAACTTGTTTTTATTATTGGTTGTTAGCCGCCCTGAGCCCGGTCTTGGCTGGGGAGGGTGGGGTATAAATAAAATATGATGATGATGATGATGATGATGTTACTAGGCTAGAAAACTGCATTGCAGAGAATTCAGGAGACGTGAATTTTGAAGGGTGGCTGTGTTTTGGTTCATGTATTGTTTCTGAAAGTGTGGATTAGGCAGGTTTACCGTTAAATGAAATCTGAACCACATTTTTCCTCTATCCCTAGTTCTCCCTCTCTGTTCTCCACTCAGCTTCCCTCAACACCCATAATTTCAAACCACATAGGAAGTTCTCATTGTGGACTGCTAATAGAAACATAGAATTGTAGAGATGGAATGGACAATCAAAGTCCAAACAGTAATGTGATAATCACAGCTAAATAATCCCTGGCAGGTGGCCATGCAATTTCTGCTTAAAACCTCCAATGAAGGAGAGTCCACCACCTTCTGAGGTAGTCTGTTCCACTGTTGAGGTCTTATAATCGGAAAGTTATTCCTAAGGTTTAGTTGGAATTTCCCTTCTTGAAATTTAAATGCATTGGTTTGGGTCCCATCCTCTGATGCAGCAGGAAACAAGCTTGTTCCATCTTCTAAGTGACAGCCTTTCAAATATATGAAGATGGCTATCATATCACTTCTCAGTCTTCTCCTCTCCATACCCAACTCCCTCAATAGTTTCTCATAAGGCTTGGTTTCCAGACCCTTGACCTCCGCCTCCTCCTTCTCCTTCTTCTTTATACCAGGCCCAGCCACTTTGGGTGGCTTCCAACAGAATATTAAAAATACAATAAAACACATTGGCCATCTTCCTCTGTAAGCATTCCAGCTTGTGAATATCCTTTTTAAACTGTGGTGCCCAGAACTGGACACACTTCTCCAGATGGGGTCTGAACAAGGCAGAATAGAGCAGTACTAATACTTCCCTAGATCTGGAAACTATGATGCAGCCTAGAATTGCTTAAGCTTTTTTTTTTCCTTCCCCTGCTGCTGCATCACAGTGATGACTCCAGTTGCTCACATTACTGCTGCCTCCCAGGAGGGAAAGGTGGGAGGGAGGTGGCAGTGGCACGGTTGGTGTGGTCCAAACACAGCAGCAGAGCCAATCCAGTGCTGCCACCAGTCTGTTTGCACCACACTGTGACCAACAACCTCTACTGGCTACATCTCTACAGAGCTGCACAAAATAGGAATTCAGCAGACTGAAGTTTCCTGCTGTCATTGCAGCATTCTGACCAGGAAACTCTGAAAGTCAGCTGTGGTAGAGGGGTGGGGATAGCAGCACGAGGTGGTGAGGCCAAGAATTAGTGTAAGGAGGGAGACGTTCATTCATATATTGATCTGAGTCAAGCAGGCAAGTCATGGGCTGCCATCACCTTGTACACATCTATTGTAATGCTTAATCTTCTTCCATGCTAATATTTCCAGCCTCCTCCGTTCACCCCGCCCCAGACATCCTGAATACAGCTGCACTGTCAATACTCATTAGGATCCCACCACAGAGAACTGTCTCGACTGATCTGTTTAATCGCTCTCCTGGCCACATTTAGCCTCTATCCCTCTTGCAAGCTGATGATTTATTATCCTTGCTAATTGTCTATTGTCTCGCCGTCAACTTGTTAGCTGGCAATGGGTAATTCCATACCTCTCTCTTACAAACCTGGAACCTTGCAAGATGCAGTCCCAAGCTGAGGAACTGGGAAGAGGCAAACTCTGCCATCCACTGGGATGAAAATAACCTGGGGTTTTCCTAATTGGAACGTAGAACTTCATCCCTCGCCTCCCCCCCCCCCGCCTGGCTTATCCTGCTCAGCACCACCTGTGATCTGGTCTGCTGGGTACCTTCTGCATCAAGTTAACAGATTTAACAGCTAAGTCACAGGATAGTCACGCTCTCAGTATTAAACGCCTTGGCGTGCTGTGTGTAATCCCATGCCAAATCAAACATGGCACACTGCCCTGCAGATAAATGTTAGGGCATTACGTGGAATTTAAAGTCACAGGAAGCTGCCTCATACCAAGACTGACTAACATTCTGCCTACCTCAGCATCCTCCACATCGATTCCTAGTAGCTTTCCAGGGTTTCAGGGATGGGTCTCTCCCACCCCTATGCTGGGGATTGAACTTGAGACCTTCTGCATGAAAGGCAGATGCTCTGCCACTAAGCTGGAAAACACAGGAAGAGAAAATGTTGTTGCAGTCAGGTCCTGCTTGCAGGTTCCCCACAGGCACCTGGTTCGCCACTGTGAGAACAGGATGCCAGACTAGATGGGAAAGTTGTTTTTCTGTTCAAGTAACAGAATTTGGGGAAACGAAAAGCTGGTAGCCATAGCTGATAGGAAGTGTGAGACCTAGTCAGCTCCATGGGGAAGGGCTGTGTCATTTGCCCCTAGCCTCTCACCTGCAGGAAGGAAGGCTCTGTCATTAGAAGGCTGGTATATCCTGGCTTAAAAGGGACGCAGGTGGCACTGTGGGTTAAACCACAGAGCCTAGGAGTTGCTGATCAGAAGGTTGGCGGTTCGAATCCCCACGACGGGGTGAGCTCCCATTACTCGGTCCCTGCTCCTGCCAACCTAGCAGTTCAAAAGCACGTCAAAGTGCAAGTAGATAAATAGGTACCACTCCGGCAGGAAGGTAAACGGCGTTTCCGTGCGCTGCTCTGGTTTGCCAGAAGCGGCTTAGTTGTGCTGGCCACATGACCTAGAAGCAGTACGCTGGCTCCCTTGGCCAGTAAAGCGAGATGAGTGTCGCAACCCCAGAGTCGGCCACGACTGGACCTAATGGTCAGGGGTCCCTTTACCCTTACCTTTATATCCTGGCTTAGTTTAATAATTATGCAGCCACACAGAAAATGGGTCCCATTTTGTGGGGTTCAACAGAATGAAAGGGGGGAAAGAGTGGTGGAGGGCATTCTACTCCTGACAGAAGTGGTCAAACTCATAAAAGGACTGAGATAAGACAGAGCACATAAAGTAACATTTATTTGTCTGTTTGCTACATTCATGTGCCACTGATAGGCTGATAGAGGGGCTTTCGCTGTTTCACTTTGTCCTCCGATACTGTGAGGCAGTGGCGTAGCATGGGGGGTGCAGGGGGGGCTGGCCACACCGGGCGCAACATCTGGGGGGGCGCACTCGCACTCGCAGCTCTCTGCCCCTACTGGGTTAGGGGGCGCAAATTACTTGCCTTGCCCCGGGTGCTGACAACCCACGCTACGCCACTGCTGTGAGGCAGAAAGTCTACTGGTGGTGGTTCTGGGAGATGAAGAACAAATTGGCTATTAGTCATAGCTAGTCCAGTGACGGGGGCCTAAGTGTCTCACCTTTACCTTCGAAGCAAGTAGTCTAGTGAAATGGTCACTGATGAAGACATCCTCTGAGGCAACCAGATAGTGATTAAATGTGGGAGGTTCATGTGCGCATCTATGAACCAAGGAAGGGGTTGCACAAATGCCTCCAATCACCCATTACTTTATCTGTGGGGAGAGGGATAAGGCGTTTGTTGACGCCTTCTCCACAGGAAGTGTGGGTGAATGTACAGTATCATAGCTGTCAACTTTTCCCTTTTCTTGCAAGGAATCCTATTCGGAATAAGGGAATTTCCCTTAAAAAAAGGGAAACGTTGACAGCTATGTACAGTATTAACCACTTCTGTGGGTCATTGGATGTGCCAGTGTGAGCAAAGGTTAAATGTGGGATGAGACTGAGTTTTCCTCATCCCTCCCCCCTCATTTTCCTTGTGTAGCATGACTTTTAAACTGCAATCCTGAAGCCACACTGGCAGCCCTTTTTCACTGAAGTGCATTGAACAAATGACTTGAGCAGCCAATGGAACAAAACAATGTGAACGTGGCTATTCGTTTAGACAAAAAAAAAAATGATTATGGTTTGAACTTGTCTCAGTTTCAAAGCCCCTAGCAAACCACAGACAGCACACTCCAAGTAGAATTTGGTGTAAGAGTTTCCAAATCTGACTGAAATGAAATGTTTTGTGGAGCATCCTCCCTCCCCAGCCCTCCCTGCTCCACTCCTCTCCCCACTTCTGAACGGCAAGGTTTGAATAATGACGACTTTGCTCAACGCAGGAAGATTTCCATCAGCTTTCCTCAGCTTGGGTAATCACAGTACAGATATACGAGATTCCTGTGTAATAAATGGCCATAAGGGCATTACATAAATCTCCTTATGTTTGAAAAGGATAAATGTAAAGCAAACATCTCATAACTTAGTTGTATCATTAGCTATAAATAGAAGAGAGAGAGAGAGAGAGGAAGGAAGCACATGAGATACATGCACTTTTTGCTACACCTGTGAGGGATGGCAATGAATTCAAAGGATGGGTAGGTCAGGCAGTTTACATGCTCTGGTCAACCCTGATTGAGCTATTGGCTGTCAGGATTGGACTGGAATAGGGAGTCTCAGAGTCCCAGATCCAACTGTAGACCACTCCAGGGTGGTTTGGAAGTCCCCCCAAAGTCTAGAACAGTGGTTCCCAATTAGCTAATTACTGATGACCCCCTATTTTTCAAAAGCCAGGCTATGGACCCTTTACTTTTGAAATTTTGATAACTCTATGGTAGTTACCTGTGCAAAGCAATTTTTTAAAGAAAATGTGGGGTGGCCCCTAATATTCAAAGGATTTTAGTTATTCTAAAAAACAAATATGTGATGTTAGTACAAACTGCCTACCCCTGGGCAGTAGGAAATACTTGCCTCTATTGCTCCACTACAATTGATTTTAAGAAAGCAATTGTGTCCCTAATTTGCAAGTGTTCTATATGCAGAAGGCTATTTATATGAGAGCACATTCAAACATGCAATTCCTTACTTGTAATCTGAGATGGTATATCTTAGCAAAACTTTGCAGCATATGGTTCTGCTAACTGAGGGATCTTGTGCCCTCAAAACACAGGTGAAGGTTTGGTCAGAGCTTGCTAAAGTATTGGTGAAGACTGAGTAGAAAACAGCTGGAATTTTGTACTATTGGTACAAAAGTAGTAGTAGTAGTAGTAGTAATTTACCTATTTATCTACTTGCACTAGCGTGCTTTCGAACTGCTAGATTGGCAGGAGCTGGGACAGAGCAACAGGAGCTCACCCCGTCGCGGGGATTCGAAATGCTGACCTTCTGATTGGCAAGCACAAGACGCTCACTGGTTTAGACCACAGCACCACTGCTGCAGCGGGAAGGTACATGGTATTTCCATGCGCTCTGGTTTCCGTCATGGTGTTCCATTGCGCCAGAAGCGGTTTAGTCATGCTGACCACATGACCCAGAAAGCCATCTGTGGACAAACACCAGCTCCCTGGTCCTGAAAGTGAGATGAGCGCCACACCCCATAGTTGCCTTTGACTGGACTTAACCGTCCAGGGGCCTTTACCTTTTACCTAGTAGTAATTTATTCTTATTATTTAGTGCCCAAGTTTCATCCCTGGCTCAAAGAGATTAGTTAAATAAAATAATATTAGTTAAATAAAATACTTATTTGGAGTGAAGTCTTTATTCTTGCTGATTACCCATTTTATTTATCAGGATTCTGCCGTGCATCTGTTTCCTCCCACCCCAAATGTAGCCACATAGCTTCCCACAGAAAACAAGAAAACAACATCCATTCAGGCTGCCTTTTGCACTAAACAGGCCCAGGTGATGTATTGATACATCACCCAGGACTGGTATGAACCAGGCAAAAGAACTCAAAGAGGAAGTAAAGCAAGGCTAGTGAGGAGGGTGACTTGGAGACAGTCCCAAGGGTCAGACAGGGAGGCTAGATTGCTGCCTTTGGTCCCTGGGTTTAATGTTCACCATCCCTGATGCAGAGTATTCTATAAAGTGGTAGTATTCTCTCTTCCTTTCCCGCTCCCTCTCCTGCTCTCTCACCACCTACATTTAATCCTCAGCTTTGCTAGTATCAAGAACACCACATTTTTCTTTACATCTGTTTTCTATCTGACCAAGACGCCATGCATTCTGATTAATCCTAGAGGCAGACCAAAATAGCAAGTTGGGTTCTGCATTTCCAAAGGGAGAATGCCCATTGCTGCTGCGTCCAGCAAAGCCTTTCTACGAACAGACTCCTTTTTTGTGTGCCTAGCTTAGAGTGAAACACAAGAACGTAATGTCATTGATTCATCCAGTTCAGTACTGTCTACACTGACTGGCAGTGTCTCTCCAGGGTTTCAAATAGAAGACTTTCCCCGTCTTAGCTGAAGATGCCAGGAATTGAGCCTGGGACCTTCTGCATGCAAATTACACAATCTGTTGCTGAGCTATGAAGCTTCCTAAGAAGATAACGTGAGATTCTAGTCCTTGTGGATCTGAATAAAGGGCAGAATGCAAGAGGAACATAGGAATGTCAGGCCACTGGTTCATCACCTAATTTTTTCCACTGTCATCTGCCATTATGGGGCAACATCTTGTACCTAATCCCATGTAAAACCTGCTGTCATTGGGAAATGGTATCAACCCAAATGTCAAGCACAAAGAGTTGGTCTTCTTTCGTATGACAGGAGCAAGACAAATACAGTGGAACCTCAGTTCTCGAACAAACTCTGTTGAATGATTTGGAAACCGAAAGTCGGAAACCCGGTAGTAATAGCTTCCATTTTTGAATGTGCCTCGAAAGTCAAACGGCTTCCACTGCATGTTTTCCCCATTTTTTCAATGCGTTTTGCCAACAACCCATTGATCCTTGGTTTTCGAACGTTTTGGAACAGTCTTCTGGAACGGATTACGTTCGAAAACCAAGGTTCCACTGCAGTTGCTTTCAACTGGGGGAAAAACCTCCTGCCACAGAAGCTTGGATCGAATACATGTAAAATATAGTATTTTCTTATCTCACCATTCTTCTAATTTTCTCATCTTTACAATTTTAAATTCACATTTGCATATCAGCTGGCAATTTATTTCTGGTTTGCTTTTTTTGTTTTAAAAAAAGCCTTCATGAAAATTCATCATCATTTTTGTGCAAATTTCCATGAACAATGAACAATTGCATTGCTACCCCCCCCCCCCGGGCTTTAAATTGCTTTTATATATTGCGTTTTACCTTCTCAAGTTGCACTGAGACTTTTTACTGTGAAAAGTGACTGATAAATGTACCGTGTTTTTTTTTTCTTTGACATGCTCGTTAACATGAACATTTTTTAAAGGCACACTTTATCCTAGTATATGCATTTTTTTTTTTTTTTAAATACATCACTTGGCTGGAAAACTCCACAGCAAAATTTGAAGAAGCAAGCTTTTCCAAGGGTGGCTGCAAGTTGGTTTGCATATTGTTTCAGGAAGTGAAAATTAAGGAGGTTCTCCTTTCAGCGCAAACTGAAATGAATCTCTCCCCACCTGTATTCATGGGGAGCAGTCTGAGGGAATGCCAGGTAAGGAATAAAAACCTAGAGCAATGTCCGTTTTAGGATGCTGATGTAAGAGCAGCACAATATTTAGTCCAGTCTCCCATTGCACCATTTCTTTTTGTGTATCTTTGTGTAAACGCTTTTTATTAACTTATTATTACAGCACATACACACATGACACTTAGAAAACAAACTACAAAAGAAAGCACAAAATAAATAATAAACATATATGCATAAATCCGCTAGTATCTGCACAAGGACTTATGTTATCCAATCTTTAGTTCTTATTCTATTCTAATAGACCTCCTCCTCAACGCAGGTCTGATTTTAAACTCGATAAACTGTTTCACTGCACCATTTCTAAAGGTTGCACCAGAAGTCTTTACAATCAGCCTCAGACGTTCCACTCAGCTGGCAGGTGTCACGCAGATTATCTCATCAACTTAACCAAAGCTGCTTCCAGGACAATCAGTTTCCTTTCCTTCCCCCATATTTTTACAAGGTTGGAGACAAATAATACCTCCCCCAAGAGCTGAAAGTGATATGCAGTTGTGCACACATGGATTCTTTTCTGTGACGTGGCGGAGCAGGTCTTACAAGGCTTCTCTGAGTATTTTACAAACCTGCAGCCCTGATCTGACCTCAGGTTATAGCAGGGCAAACATAGAAATCTGCCTTATATTGAGCCAGGTGATGGGTCTACCTAGCTCAGTACTGTCTACACAGATAGGCAGCAGCTCGCCAGGCAGCAGCTTTCCAGCCCAACTTAAAAATCCAGCACTGAGGGCCTTCTGCCGGCTCCCTCATTGTGAGAAGTGAGGTTACAGGGAACCAGACAGAAAGCCTTCTCGGTAGTGGCATCCACCCTGTGGAACGCCCTCCCATCAGATGTCAAGGAACTAAGCAGCTATCTTATTTTTAAAACACATCTGAAGGCAGCCCTGTTTAGGGAAGTTTTTAATATTTAATGCTGTATTGTTTTTAACACTCGATTGGGAGCCACCCAGAGTGGCTGGGGAAACTCAGCCAGATGGGCGGGGTATAAATTTTATCTATCTATCATCTATCTATCTATCTATCTATCTATCTATCTATCTATCTATCATGAGAATGTCAACAGCAGTGGCCAAACTTGGTCACTTGGTGCTGACAAGAGTACTGGGAATGGTGGCAAATTAATGTATGGTGCAGGGCTAGGCAATAGGAGTGTACTAGCAACTGCCCAGTGCGGCAACCTACTGACACTGGACTTCATGGAACCTAATCTAGAACATCATGGACACACACACACACACACACACACAGGCTTTATAATCTTCGTCAGTAACAGAACACAGCAGTGATGGCCCCTACAATAGTACTACGCCTGTGGCTTCCCTAAGCCTGGTATAAGCCAGTGTGGTGTAGTGGTTAGAGTGTTGGACAAGGGACCTTAGAGACCTAGGCTCAAGCCCCTGTTTGGTCATGGAGCTCACTGGTCGGTGACTTTGGGCCAGTCACTGCCTCTCAGTCTAGGCTGTTGTGGAGTTTAACTGAATAGTAAAACCATGTACACCACCTTGAGCTGCTTGGTGGAAAAAAGTTGCATATAAATGCAAGAAATAAAAGAAACAACAAAATAAAAATGGCCTTCTAATCTTTACAGTCAGTGGAGCAGCATTCCTAGCTAGTGAACTTCAGATTCTGGCTCAAATCCCTATTCTAGTAACTGGTCCCAGGGCAGCGCCATAATGGTAAATTTTGAAGCTGCTTATTTTGGAGGTGCTTGCCATGATAGCTCCTATGACTATGCCCCCAAGGAGAGTCCGAAATGCAGGCAGCTCTCCCTCCCCTATCTATATATCCACACACACATACAGTATATACCGCAATACCCAATTTATTAGTATCATCATGAGTGCAATCTTATGCATAGTTTCTTTGGAGGAAGTTCCACTGAACTCAGTGCTGTACAAAGCACATTGACCATTCAACCAAATAAGGACTTTGGCAAACTAAAAATGAAATTGTTTGCTTTTAATTAGGAATGAAAACAACCTTGCAAAGAAGTGCAATCATTTAAACCATTAGTGGGAACCAGGGACACCTTCAAAGAAAAGGAAGGGCGTATCCAACCTCTGCTTGATCATTTCCCCCCTTTTCACTGCCTTCTTCAATGCTAAGCTGTCACAAACAAACTTGAAAGCCTTGTTATCACCTCATTTGGTCGACAGAGCAGGCGAGGCCCATCAGTTACCCAAGCATTCCAGCAGAAGATGTCTTTACCCCTGCTCTGAAAAATGTCCCAGAGCTGCATTCATATTCACCTACACCAGGGTTTTTGGGCTAGAAACCACAGCCACTGGTCAAGATTCAGGCCTGCCAACTGGCCCTGGCTGTGACAGTCTACAAACTGGAAGCAACAATAGCAAGATCATAACCCTTCAACTCCCTTTTAGAAATTATTTTCTGTTTCTAGCCTCCGGAGGGCTATCTGCCCCCAAAAGCTATTTCCCGCCTCTCCACTATGATCAGTCCTGCATTAATGTAATTCATATAAGCTTGAGACATAAATATGTTCATGTGTGGAATCGTTGGGGAAACCTTCAGTTGCCTAAAGCACTGGAAGAGCAGTTGTGACCTTTATCACAAACATCCCTTGACTGTAAAGCATAGAAATCAAAGGAAAAATACATAAATAAAGTTTGCCCAATATTTTCAGTTAAAGTTCTTTCATCTGGGAAGCAGAAACCTAGGAAGATGTCTCGTGCAGAGTCAGGTTATTGGTCCATGTAGCTCGGCACTGTCTCCACTGACTGACAGTGGCTTCCTGGGTTTCAGACGAAGCACATTCCCAGTCCTACCTGGAGATTCCAAGGATTGAACCTGGGACCTTCTGCATGCAGAGCAGATGCTCTGCCACTTGGCTACTGCATTTTCCCCAATCTAAGCTTGCCAGTGTCAGCAGAGAGCAGCCAGCTGAAAAGCCAACCCACCCGCCAATCACACCCAGCAACACAACACAGAGCAGACATGCAAACTCATTATACCTCAGGATGAATTGGTCCACGGTGATGTTGTTGGTGACCGTCACCAAAGCGCTCACAACTTCTCCTTGTCTGATGGGTTTCGCTGGCAACCAGATGACGACGTTGCTGTCCAGCCACAGGTCTGTCAGCTGAGAGCTCTCCGGGGTCCTGTAGAGAGTGATGGAACCAATTCTCTGCAAGTGGGACATGGTTTCCCCTGACCCTTCCTTCCCTGGACGGATGGCGTTCCCCTTACGGATGTCTTCTGAAGTACACTCTGTATTTTCATCTGCAGGCTGAATGGTGTAGTAAAGCTCCACTGAGCTCCCTTCAGACTGATTGGATGCTTTTTTGCGGCCGGTGACAACCGTTGCTGGGTTAAACCAGGTGGGCTGAAGTTCCAGGTCAGCCACACACAAGCCGAGGTGACCCTTCAATCTGCAGCTGCCCCGAACCTCCCGTGTTTCCCGAAAGGCAAAGACTCGCATGCAAGGCAGCTGCTCTGTCATGCTGTAGTCATCCCAATCTCTTCCCACAATGTAAAAAAGAACTTGGACTTTGGGCCTGGTCAAATAGACCTTTTCACTCATGATGTACGCTTTCAGCTTCCAATTGAACGTAAATTTGTTGGTGGATCCAAAAAAGCTTGAGGTCAGCAGCAGGTCCTGGGGCACAGCCTGTTCCACAGAGAAGGGCCCATAACTAGCATTGATCACAGGGGTCTTCTTGGCTTTGTAGGTGAAGAAGGTCTCCATCCGAGATTGCAAACTGGAGTTCCGCATGAACTCCTGGTTAGTTTCTTTGAGGAAAAACGAACTCTCGGTGCTGGAGATCTGATATCTTACAGGTAGATATGTTGGCAGAGAGGAAAACTTCTGAACATTGTCTGAGGCCCCACGGCCAATGGTCACTGTTGGCAAAGAAGGAGGCAAAAAACAAAGAACAAGATGGGTCAGACAAGACAATGCCCAGTTAGCTATTTGTGCAAGAAAGCTCCAGTTTGGTTCAGGGCCCAATTTTGTGTCCTTGATCACTCCATGCCCAGCATGATCTGAGGCTTGGATGGAATTAGGGACTTTGCAACCTGCTAAGGTTGGCTGTTGTGGGGGCGGGGGGAGAGATTCCTGGACTACATCACCTCCCGTTCGCTGTCTCCCCTCCCCACCACATGCTTCATATCCCCTCCTTGACAGATCCAGAGCACCCTGAATGACTCTGACCCTGTCCAGTGCAACCCAGAGCTGCCTCAACCCACTCTGGACAAATCCCAGATCAGCCCAATTCAGTTTGGGATCTGGGATATCTCCTGACCAGATGCAGTTATGGCTGCAAATGAAGTTTTATCAATCAGTGTCTCAGGAGTGGAGAAGTATCAGGAGTGGGGAACATCATACCCAGGGGGCCAGATGCAGACCTCAACTTTTCTCTATCTGGCCCCCTGGACTCTCTTGAGGCAACATGTTCTCTCTCCAGACCAGACCTTGCTCTGTACCCTCCTTGAATGTACCTCTTCCTTCCTGAATTTGTCCAATCTCCCATTTCAACTATCTAAGCCAGGGGTTATCATTATATCTTGTGGCAGCGGATTTGATTAAAAATGCCCTATGTGATAAATAACTTTCCTTTGTCTGAACATAAGAAGAGCCCTGCTGGATCAGATCAAAGGTCCATCTAGCCCAGCATCCTGTTTTCACAGCAGCCAACCAGATGCCTCTGGGAAGCCTGCAAGCAAGACCTGAACATAACAGCATTCTCCCCCCTTGTGATCACCACCAAATGGTATTCAGAAACATGCTGCCCCCAGTAGCACAGGTAAAACATAGCCATCGTGCTGATAGCCATTAATAACCTCCCACTCCATAAATTAGTCTTATCCCCTTTTAAAGCCATTCAAGTTGGTGACCATTACTACATTTAGTAGGCTCAAATTCCACAGTTTAGCTATGCCCCGTGTGAAAGCTCTTTCTGTTGTCTGTCCTGAATCTTTTATTATGACCCAAATCTACCATCAGGCAAATTATTACTGAGCTGAAATAAACTGGATTTATCATAGTCTTGCATCTTGGAGCATGGTTGCTATCATCATCATCATCATCATCATCATACCTTTTATTGGCATCACATACAAACATCACATATCCCTTCTGCCCTTAAGGTCTTCAAACGCCAACATTATAGCTCAATTGCTCTATGGTATTCCAGTCTGGCTGCCAGGGTTTACCCAGTTGGTAGAACGAGTGCAGGCAGCATTCCTCCTTAAGATTATTTACTGTCCCACGCTGTGTACCCTATGCAGCCTTGTGTCTAGAGGGAGGTCAACACAAGGTAGAGACTGTCGCCTGGTTGCTATTAGAGACTAGCAATGCTGGGAGCTTCCAGAGGCCCAGAGAGCTCACTTGTACTGGTTAGGGCAGGGTGGCACTGCTCCCCTGGCCCCCCCATCCCCATTGTCACAGTGACAAACCAGAGGAAGAGGGGAAGAAGAAAAGGGCAGCATAGTGCAAACACACCGGCAAGGCAAATGTGGCACTCCTGCTGGTGTGTTTGAACCTTGCCAATCTTGCTGCCACCTCATCCCTCCTTCTCACCTTCCTAGCACACCACAGTGATGGCAGTGACAGAACATAGGAAGCTGTCATTTGATTGGTCCATCTTGGCTCTCCAGGGCTCCCGGAAGAGAGTTTTCCCAGCTCTACCTGGAGATGCCAGGGATTGAACCTGCAAAAAAATCTGCAAAGCAGATGCTCTACCACTGAGTCATGGCTCAGATATGGATCTTGACATCTCAGGTTTAGTTTTGCTCATTTTTCGCATTATTTTTTTAAAAGAGAAGATTTAAGCTGTTTAATAACCCGCTAAAACTTAATTTTATGATTTACAGGTTGCAAATTCTCAGTTCCGCCACCATTGAAAAGACAGCCAGATTCATCAATATTCTACCAAGGCATTGCAACACAAACGCATCAGCACCCGCCTGCCTTTGTACAAGCACGGAACTAGGTGGGATGCTAGCAAGTGAAAAGCAATAAAGGGAGATACTTTCTTCTGATGAGGCAGGGATAGGAAAATAGCAATGAGTGCCACAACTCCAGAATGTTAATTTAAGGTGATGGACCTTCATATTTAATTCATGTTGGAGAGATAGGTGGCAGGATTTGTTCCTTCCAAGTGAGCAAACTGCCATTAAGAGCCAGAAAATGCAATAGCAATCAAACAAGAATAGAATATATATTTTGATTTTTGCAAGACATGGGGAGCTGGGGGATGCTGAAATTCACAAACCCGTCCCCAGCAACCATGGGACACCTTAATCAGCAACCTCTCTTGGCTTCTGGGATTTGAGTAAACAATGCCCACACAATTTCTAGCATTTCGTCACAGACATAAGGACTATGATTATTATTTTTTATTTAAAAGAAACTGAATGGTAAAGCCTGCATGCGCAGGAATTTGAATCCTGAACCCAGCACCTCCATGACAACAACACCCTCACAACACACCCCTAAGGATAGGATTCAAAACAATGTACAGATACTTCTACACCTGCTGAATCCATGTCCACCTCCAATTTAAAAATCCAGAGTTCTAGCCATCAGGTTCCAGTGGAAACACAAAGGCTTCTATAGCTCTCCCTTTGTCAGAGGCCCAATGTCCAGCCTGAGGATGCTGAAGCTGTAGTGGTTTACCACACAGGGAAGGCACATAAAAGCCAAAGGTTCCTGACAGTAGATATTCTTGACAGTTAATCAGACCTTTTCATTTAAAGGCTTAGGCACAGCATGATCCTTACTTAACCCTGATTGCACAGAGGTCACGGATGAGATATCAAGCAGGGCCCAGACAGAGCCATGAAGTCTAAGCATCCTGAAGACCTTTTTATTAAATTCCTCTGGGCTAGACTCTAATATCTTGGTTGGGTGCTTATTACCGGCCCGCTGCCGTGAAGTGAAAATTGCAACCCCTGTAATAAAGGGGATTTTCTATTTTCACCCTCCCCTGCCGGGATGCTTCGCCATCCATCGATGTTTCGGGAGCCTTTACTGACACAGATCAAATGCTGGAAATCTGTGGACAAAGCCACATGAGCCCTTTGTGCTGAAATAAGCTCTACACAAAGGTAACCCAAATGCAGTGACCAAAATAGTTTTGTTGGGGTGTGTGGGAAGGTGGGATTAAATGTGCCTACAGAGATATGACGGCATTCTGAAATGTAGTCCACTTGCAAGTTCCAATGGGTAGAAGTCAGTTAATTCCTACTCACAGTAGACCTGATAAAATTAATTGAGCTAAGTTAGTTGTGCCCATTACTTTCAATAAGTCTGCCCTGAGTAGGAGTAGCATTGAAGGCCACCCAATGTTTCCAATGAATTTGAAAGGTGTCATTGTAGCCCAACCTTGTGACAATTCTGGTGAGATGAGCTTTTTTTCAGTAGTAGTGTCCTAATCTCCCCCAAGGACTTAGAAATCAAACTGTTACCATGACAGGAGGTCATGGTTTATTGGTGAATCCAGTATAGTGTCCCAGCATAGATCTATAGGCTGCAAACAGGCAAATCAAGGCAAAGTATAATGAACATGGCCAGGCTTTAGCTAAGACATTGATCCAAGTTTCCTAAACCAGACAGATGGGAAGTTGCCTGCTCCTGATGGGGTTACACTCCCTCTGAAGGGATGGGTACACATTTTGGGCGTACTTCTGGATCCATTACTGCTGCTTAAGGCTCAGGTGGCTGCAGTGGCACAGAGTGACTTCGACCAGTTTTGGCTGGTGGCACAGCTGCACCCCTCTCTAGACAGGGATAGCCTAACGTTTGTTGTCTATGCTCTGGTAACCCCTTGGTTAGATTACTACAATGTTTTAAATATGGGGCTGCCTCTGAAGACAGTTCAGAAACTTCAGCTGGTGCAGACTTCAACGGCTCACCAGGGCAAGACGGTTTGAGCATATAATGCCAATTCTGGCCCGACCACACTGGCTGCCGATTAGTTTCCTGGCCCAATTCAAAGTGCTGGTTTTGACCTATAAAGATTTAAGCAGCTCAAGACTGCAGTACCTTAAGGACCACCTCTCTCCATATGAACAGACCCAGACTCTGCAATCATCATCTGACATGCCTCCTCCATGAGGGATTTGGAGGGTGGCAACACAAAAATGGGCCTTTTCTGCAGTAGCTCCCTGCTTGTGGAATGCTCTCCCCAAGGAGAAATCATCATCATCATCATCATTAAGTTAACTGTCCTGTTGGAGATAGCAAAATAAGTGAGGGCATTCAAATGGTACCTTTAACTTCTACACAACCTCAGTAGAAGGGTAAAGTTTTGGTACTCATCATCTTATAGATATAAGGACTCAACTGAGTTTTGCAGTTTGTCAGAAAAACTCCTCCTGTTTTGGAGAGTTCTCCTGGGTCCTGAAATGCCCAAGTTTGACCAGCTACCTTGAACCAGTGCTGTGCTATTTGCTTCATGCTTCCTGCCACTGGCTGACCTTTGCTCCGGGCTGAATTTCCCCAGATCTTGCCCAGGATTCCATGGGCACTTGTACCAGCAGAAATAAGAGGTCTCATCTGACAAAGACGGAATCAGATTTCATACATTACAGAGATGAATCACTGTATATCAGGGATGTAGTGTGACATTCATGATTATGCATACAGCAGCAGTGAGGAGACTGGGGAGTGTATGCGAACACTGTGAAGTGTCTTCCTGCACCCTTGAAATCCCTGCAAACAGACACATGCACGCATACCTTTTGTGGCATAAGAGCAGGGAGGACATTTTTGCTCAGTCCTATCAAATACAGATCCATTTCAAAAAAGGACAGACCCTGGACAGTCTAATCCAGAATAGGTGTGTGTATATGTGTGAAGAACCTAAATCAGATGCCTCAAACTTCCCATCTACTTTAACACATTTCAATGTGTCCGTTAACTTCACCAAGATCAGAAGTGGTCATGTCAGCCCTGTAAGAGTCAATGTGCTTTATTTATTTGTTTGTTTTCAACATAACCTTCACCAACCTTTACAGCTTCCTCCATCAGGAGGCAGCTTCTGTAAGGTCATCGACCGGCAGGATAGGAGAGGTTCACAGGTTTCAATCACAAGAATCCCACAACGTCTACAGCCAGCTTGAACATCATTTGTGAGAATTAGCCAGGAGGTGAAGAGAAAGACAGGCCAGTGGGATGAAAGGGCACGAGTATATCCAGAGTTAATAAAAAAAAAAGGCTATTCAGAGTAAAAGGCCAAAGTCTCCTTGCAATATATAAATCAGAGTCAGCGCCCTGTCATGGAACGTTAAATCAATCCATGATACTTTTCTAAGATGGTAGTGGTCAGTCCAACCTCCTACCACCATTAGACATTAAAGAGCATTTAAGAAGAATGAACAGGAAACAACCCTCCACTCTCAACACTTAAACTTCCACATTTCCTTCATAATTCTTTTGAGAGTCCACATTGGTATGGCTGAAGCTTCACTGCGATATGATCTCATGCATCTGAACAACAGAATCACATTGAATGAGTAGATTGCTCTAAGGGACCCCAGAGCTTGAACTGAGAAGCTCTGTGACCCTCTAGTGGGTCATGACCTGATTCAAGGTGGATTGAAAAAGCAGCACTAACACAATGCAAATATATGGTAACGTGTTAAGAAATGGGTCTCCAATTACATGTTTGGTTTAAAAGTGGGTTCCAGGTCTGAAAAGGTTGAAGACTACTGCTCTAGATGTTGCTGCACTCCAATTCCCATAAAGATGATGATAGTTGGGCTCCAACAGCATCTGGGAGGCTACAGATTCACTATCCCTGGGGGGGGGGGAACTACCTATGGGAAGAATCATAGCTCATTGGTAGACCAGACGTTTCTCTTATTGAAGCATGGGAGGGAAACAGGAGTTGAGGGGCTCAAGGCAAGCAGGCACCTGTGCCACTGACACTGACATGCTTTGTCTTTAGAAGACCCCAGGTCCAATCCCTGGCATCTCCGTTAAAAGGACTAGAGCCATTAGTCCACCTAGACCAATACTAACTTATCCATTGCAATAGCAAAGCTCTTTCCCAGCCTTTCAACCTCATATGCCTTTTAACTGGTGATGTCAAGAATTGAACCTAGGACCTTCTGCATGCAAAGCACATATCCTGACACTGAGAGGCAGACCCTTCACTTTCTGATTGCTGTGGCCAGTGGCACAGATGTCAGCCACCCTTAGACTCATCAGTTTCTGCTTCTCTTCCACCAAACTCCTCTCTTAAAAGTGGGCTTACGCACATAAGAGGCTGGTGCACATTGGGACTGGTGGGGTGGAAGGCAGGGGGTCCACAGTAGGCGGCACTAGAGCCAGTGGCAGACAAGGCCAACTATTGGTAAGTTCTACAAGGGTGACAATAACAAAGCTGAGAGCCACTGCCACCCCCAGGACTTATTGCAAATATAAAGGCAGTGGAGGCTGGTCCATCAGCGTACATGACATATTGCCCCACCAACCTTAGTCTGCTCTCAGCTAGCCCCCACTTGCCTGCCTTCTTACCTACAATCACTCCTAGGGATAGCTCTAGCTGTCAGCTTCTTCCTCCTCCTTAGTCTCCATGTTGTCCTTGTAGAACTAAGAAGGGAGGAGGATGGGGATGAAAGTGGAATTATTTGGCTCTGCCTCTCACTGACTCCACCTTCAGCTGGCCTTCCTACACTCCACCCTACCAGTTCCAACAATCATCAGCCACCACTGCTCCAGAATCAATGAGAGAACCACCAGCAGGAAAATGTATCCCTCTGAGCATCAGCCTTGCATGGTTGTAGGACAATAGCTTGTCACCTGTGATTAAGGAGACCTGCAGGTTGAGGGCAGGGGAGGCTCTGTCAGAGTGATGCTCAGCGCCACTGCTGTTTATGTCTCCTGCTACTTTATATGCTCCATCAAGTTAATACAAATAAAATAGGTCATGCCTTTATGATATAGGGGTGGGTGGGGGAGAGAAATAATGCAGACATTTCCTAATTAGGACTGCATTGTTCTGATGTTTCCCCTGTCAGGCTGCTCCTTTAATGCATTGTTTCTTTGTGTTAGGCCAGCTAATTAAAGAGGGGGAGGAGAGAAGGGGGGAGGCAAATCCTGGATCCGATGTCATTCCCCCCCTCCTTTCTTTCCTTAATGGCAATGAATTTTTCTCCCCCTTTCAATTAGGGCCACCACCATTAATGGATTGCTCTGCTGAATTAATAGCTCAGAGGCAGTATAAAAATAGAACCCATTTTAATCAGAAGCAAGGACCATGACCCTGCCATTGCCATCATGGAAGCACCAACACCGGCTATACTTGAAGGTGCTTCCAGCAAAAAGCTCCACGTCTCTAAGGATCTCCAGGCAGAGAATTGAAAACCAGACTTTTGTGCCCTCCTTTTCTGTGGCATTTTTGCAGCTGGTCACAAGAGGCAGCAGCTGCTGCTGTTGCACTGTCCACTGCACTTGGGTGTCACCAGTGCTGCTGGCCAGAAGGAGGTACTGCAGCTACTAACTTAGAGTTGTGGGTGTCATAATAGGGCTACGTTTCAGAGCTGCAGCTAGCTTAAGGGGACTGACTACTAGGCCATGGGTAGGCAAACTAAGGCCCGGGAGCCGGAGCCGGCCCAACTGCCTTCTAAATCTGGCCCACAGACGGTCCAGGAATCAGCGTGTTTTTACATGAGTTGAATGTGTGCTTTTATTTAAAATGGGTTATTTGTGGGGCATAGGAATTTGTTCATTTTCCCCCCTTCAAAATATTGTCCAGCCCCCCACAAGGTCTGAGGGGCAGTGGACTGGCCCCCTGCTGAAAAGGTTTGCTGATCCCTGGACTAGGCAAATCCAGCCTTATAAAAACTCAGATCTCCTAAATAGGAGCACCATCTTTTTTGAGAACATAGGATGCACCCTAAATCCAACATCCTGCTTTGCAGAAAAGTCAACCTCTGGAAAGCCAACAACGAGAGCATGGAAGCCAACACTCTGCCTGCTGTTCATCCCCGCCAACTGGAATTCACCCTGCCTTTAAGATAGCGGTCCTATTTAGCAGTTTGGGCTGGCCATTGATAGACCTTCTCCTTCACATTTTTTCTCATACCCTTTGAGTGTCACATAAGCCAGGATGCACTGCCACACCCCTTCTAAGAATATACGACTTTCTAAGATTATACAATAATCTCCTATTTATACAATAACAATAATTAGGGATGCATTTCAACAATCAATACAGATCTCCATTTGTTGACTTTCAGGTAGAGCTTCTATTTTCTGTGCACATGTATTGGCAAGTGGTTTGGAGCATTCTAGTATCTTCTTGCTGAGTGACTCAAGTTGTGTCTTTCATGAAGTTTCATTGTACCTAACAGAAGTTGCACATAATGTGCGTTTTCAGTATTCCTAAATGCTTAGCTTTGGAGCATACAATGGCTAAACACCTCCTGATTCATACTCATTGAGCAGCTCTAGGAAGCTGGAAACTGGGACCCTGCTACTGAAATAGTATTGGATCTTTGATCCCCCCTCCCCTAGGACACCACACCACTGAACTAAACCTCCGTGGCTCAGTGGTTTGCCACAATGGCACCGTTTTGCCAGATGCAAACACTGCCTTAAAATCAGTAGCCATGAAAACAGAGCTCCCCTGCTAACAAAACACTCTTGAGGCGTAAAGTATCTAAGCAGGGAGTTTCCAGGAGCAAAGACCATTCAAATTCTAGACTGTAGTGATGACAGGTGGGAAAGAATCCATTTACCCTGGAGTAAAATCTGCAGCAGTGGTCCGTGTGCCCCAGCCTGTGGCCAGCTCCCTATGGCACCATGTTTGTGGCTGAGCATCAAAGCCACAAGTTGCACCCACAGGGCCAAGTATCTGGGATGCTATTGAATGGTCGTTTGTGCCTCCCAGTCTGCCAATTATTAATTGCAGTCCTTTTATTTACTGGTAAACCTGTCATTCTCTTTGGTATCACATTTAAACAACAACAACAAAATGTTTTGTAGTTGAAACCCAAATGAATTCTTTTGGAACCCAAAAGAATTGTAGTTGAAACATAACGCAGCAGCTCTTAATGAGAAACTATTAACAGGCATCCCCCCCACCGCCCAGATTCTGCCACCCCTGTTCCACCCCTCAGAACGAGCCTTGGCAACCTGAGCTGATGCCTGAACTTTCACCTTTCTCTTGGCAAAGAACCAGACTAAGTCAACATCACTGGGCTGGTTTCCATTACCAGCTCCTGATTAACATACAGAAGAGTCATTTCTCCCCCAGCCCGCCTTCTTTCTTCCAAGCACCCAGCAGAACAGGAAAACTTCAGAAGAGGGGGCCTCCCGATTGATGTCTGACTTTGGAACTGAGCTCATAAAAAGGGAATAATTAAAACCAGGTTACCGGGGGGGGGGGGCAGAGGATAGATTCTTCAGAACTGTTTTCCCCTCCTCTGCTGCTAACATTGCACTTCATCACAGCCTAAGAAAGGAAAGGCTGAAGGTTGTTTTGCATCCTGTCCAATGCTTAAAAATAATCATCTATCTGGATCTATCAGATATGGGAATTACTAACATACAGCTGAATGAAATAAGATGCTTTTCTAGCACTTGGTGCACTGTTGACCCTCACGACAGGTCAAGTCAAGGGGCTTCTTGCATCTGCCCCCTCACCTCTTTGCTAGAATCATAAATCCTTGGTACAAATTGATGGTGTGGCCACATCTTAAATACTTTGCATTAGTCTAATTGCTCCACCTCAAAAACAATACTGCAGAACTGGAGGGGCAAAATTAAGGGGCCACTGAAGTGATCAAGGGGACAGAGATCTTTCCCTAGAAGGAATGGGGGAAATTTCACTTGGTTCTCATTTTTAAGCAAAGCTGACCTTATTTCATTGTTCTGAACTATTATGAGGATGGGAATGGAGTTAGCTTTCCAACTTTGCACATCCAATTTTGCAACACACAGGGACATACATAGGAAGCTTCCATGTACCAAGTCAGACCCTTGGGTCATCTAGCTCCATATCATCTACACCAGGCACGTTCAACAGGTAGATCATGTTCTATGGGTAGATCACCGGCTCCTCAAAGAAGCTTGACATTTTTGCCCTGCCCCCCCCCAAAAAGGGGGTTTCCTTCCTAAGAAAAACTCAGCAACTTTGACCTGAACCCCCAAAAAGGGGGTAGATCACTGCCAGTTTTTAACACTGTGAGTAGATCGCAGTCTCTTGGGAGTTGGCCACCTCTGATCTACACTGACTGGCAGTGGCTTTCCAGGTTTTCAGGCAGGTGATATTCCCAGCCCCACCTGGAGATACCAGGGATTGAACCAGAGGTATTCTGCATGCAGAACAGATGTTCTACCACTGAGCTATGGCCTTTCAACACCTCTTAAGATCCACATCTTAATGGTCAAGATGTTGGACTTGAAACATTTACACACACACAAAGCATTTACACTTGATCTTAGCTAATTACTATTATTATACTACTGTTGATGTATGAATTATAGCAAAAGAATCCCTGACAGAAAAACCCACAATGAATGAGAGCCCATCACCTTCCAAGATAGCCCAATCCACTGTTGAGCAGCTCTTACCATCAGAAAGTTCTTCCTAATGTTTAGTTGGAATCTTCTTTTGTTGTCCAGTCCTCCCTTCTGGAGCAGCAAAAAAGAAGCTTGGCTCCACCCACTGATCTGCTTGTTTGTTTTAAAAGAGGTTGTCAGATTGAAGAGTCCTACTACAGTGGAGGCTGGTTTGTTAGGGCAAGTGGTCAACCTCAATTTGCCCTCACCAAGTCCCCATCTGTCTGCCTCTGTACTTACAGCCAGTCCTGGAGGTGACAGCTTCCTCCTCCTCCTTAGTCTTGCTTTTGTAGAACTCAGCAAGGAGAAGGAGTATGGGGACAAATCTGGAACTAGTTGGCTCTGTTTGTCATTGGCTCCAGCTCCACCTGTTAGTGGGGCTCCCTGAATTCTGCCCCCAGAAGCCTCAATGGGCACCAAGCACCACTGTCAGAGACAGAACCATGGAATTTCACATCACAGCCATCATCACAGGGGGTTCGATCTGGAAAACCAAGAACATCAGATCTGGGCGAAACCTAAGCACAATTGCAAACAATGGACTTAGATGTGGAACGACCTAATTTTCTTTCTTGGAACTTAGCAAAATAGAAATAAAAAATCCCAAGATATTCTTTTTCTGATTACTGAACAGAAGGTAGTCATTTATTTTGTGTTTTCAAACATGATCCTTTGTAGAATGTTTCTCCCCTCCCATTGTTCCCGCCAACGGTGATCTCATTTCATAGCATGCCTGCTCAGGCTGAATTGAAAGCAGAGATGCTCAGAGCTAAAGCGTCTGTTCCCATTTACTGTGGCTGCAGCAATGCAGGTAAAGGGAAACACTGGCTCGGGAAATCTTTCAGCTTGCTTTTTTTAACCATTTGGGAGATTGTGAAAGGAACTGCCACACACAGTGCTTGCAGGGTGCCTTGATGGTTCATGAAAACCCTTTGAAGTCATCCAGACTTCTATCCTGGATCTTCTCCCTCCAGAGAGATACAGCTCAGTGACAGGGCATAATAACATAGGATGAGCCTGCAGGATCAGGCCTGTGGCTCATCAAGGCCGTTATCCTGTTCTCACATTGGTTCAACCAGATGCCTATGGGAAGCCTGAAAGCAGGACTCAGAAGAAGAAGAAGAGTTTGGATTTGATATCCCGCCTTTCACTCCCCTTCAGGAGTCTCAAAGCAGCTAAGATTCTCCTTTCCCTTCCTCCCCCACAACAAACACTCTGTGAGGTGAGTGGGGCTGAGAGACTTCAGAGAAGTGTGACTAGCCCAAGGTCACCCAGCAGCTGCATGTGGAGGAGCGGAGACGCGAACCCGGTTCCCCAGATTATGAGACTACCGCTCTTAACCACTACACAACACTGGCTCTCAAGCACAAGAACTCTCCTCCTGTGCTTTCCAGCAGCTGGTATTCAGAAGCATCAAGACCACCAACTGTGGGGGCAAAGCTAGTAGCCATTGGTAGCCTTATCTTCCATGAGGGTATGTTTTGTGTGCAGAAGATCCCTGTTTCAATCTCTGGCATCACCAGGTAAAGTAAGGTAAAGGGACCCCTGACCATTAGGTCCAGTCATGACCGACTCTGGGGTTGTGGCGCTCATCTCGCTTTACAGGCCGAGGGAGCTGGTGTACAGCTTCCGGGTCATGTGGCCAGCATGCCTAAGCCGCTTCTGGCGAACCAGAGCAGTGCACGGAAACGCCGTTTACCTTCCCGCCGGAGCGGTACCTATTTATCTACTTGCACTTTGACGTGCTTTCGAACTGCTAGGTTGGCAGGAGCAGGGACCGAACAACGGGAGCTCACCCTGTCGTGGGGATTTGAACCGCCAACCTTCTGATCGGCAAGTCCTAGGCTCTGTGGTTTAACCCACAGCGCCACCCTTGTCCACCAGGTAGACTGACATAAATATCCCTGTCTGGAGCTCTACAAAGCCACAGTCAAATTGGTGTAAACCAGATGTGGGAAACCAAAAAATCCAGGGACTGAATGCAGCCTTTCAGGCCTCTTCTGCTCCTTATCCCCAAGCTATACCCCTATATGGCCCTGTGCGGTGCCCTCCTTGAGTGCTTTTGCCTGGGTGGCTTCCCATTGAGACATCTGGTTGTCCTCTATGAGAAATGGGTGCTGGACTAGATGGACCTTTGGTTCGATCCAGTATGGCTCTTCTTTAGCCATACCAGCTGGAGCTGATGGAAGTTGGGGTCCAACAAGGTCAAGAGAGCCATAGGCTTCCTCATCACTGCAATCAATTGTTCTCATTTGAAGGAAGTGCCAACTTACTCCCACTTAAGCTACTAAGGACACGGGTGGCGCTGTGGTTTAAACCACTGAGCCTCTTGGGCTTGCCGATCGGAAGGTCGGCGGTTCGAATCCCCATGATGGAGTGAGCTCCCATTGCTCTGTCCCAACTTCTGCCAACCTAGCAGTTCAAAAGCACGCCAGTGCAAGTAGATAAATAGGTACCACTGTGGTGGGAAGGTAAACGGCATTTCCGTGCCCTCTGGTTTCCGTCACTGTGTCTCGTTGCGGCAGAAGCAGTTTAGTCATGCTGGCCACATGGCCTGGAAAGCTGTTTGTGGATAAACACTGGCTCCCTTGGCCTGAAAGTGAGATGAGTGCCACAACCCCATAGTCACCTTTGACTGGACTTAACTGTCCAGGGATCTTTTACCTTTACCTACTTTTACTTAAGCTACTGAACTCCACTACTGGATCTTCCTGCCCATGTGCTGTGGGTGAATATAGCTTGTCTACATGCTCCCTTATATTTGCCAATAGATGCAATTGCTGTTGAAGCCTCACTCTTGCGATTTTAATGCTGGCAAGTAAGCAGTCGACTCCCCTCAGAGCCAGGAACTTTCTGCACTTGGACAATGGGCCACCAGGGGGAGCTGCTTGAGTATCCCTTGCAGTTTTTATGCACCCCCCCCCATCCCACCCCATCTAACTGTTCAGGTTTCCATATCAAAATTTATCCCAAACAAGCCTCAAATCCCCAGGAAATCACAGGCATGAACATTCAAACACACAAACCATCAACACAACAGAATTCAAACAGCAGAAAGGCATTCTCCATTTAATTCTGTTCCAGCATCTCTTCTTGGAGATTTACGCCAATCAGAGTACGTGGTGAATTTCTGAAAAACCATTCATCTGTGGTTTTCATCAATGACAGTGGTTTTGCTTTGATCATACTGGTTCTGGCTGTCCTGGAATGCACTACTGCAGGTGTACATGTTTGTGTTTGCCTGCTCTAGATTGTTACAATTTAGATGCCTTTGTATTTGATGGCCAGAACAATGGTAGGCAGGACTGGACCACAGCTCAGTGGCAGGGCATCTGTGGTAGAACATCTGCCTAGCATGCAAAAAGGTCCCAGATTCAAACCAGTAGAGGCTGGTCCATTAGCCTGTCTGCCTGTGGCACTAGCTGTCAGATTACTTTATTCTCCTCCTCTTTCATCTCACTATTGCCTTTACAGAACTCATCAGGGAAGAGGCCAACTAGAAGCAGTTGGTTCTGTCTATTATTGACTCTGGCTCCACCATCTGTTGATCAGCCTTCTGACCTGCCAGTCCCAATGGGCACCAACCTCCACTGGCTCAGTCTCTGGTGTCTCCAGGAAGAACTTCAAAGAGCTCCTGTCTGAAAGCCATTGCCAGTCAGAGTAAAGGCAAACGTAAAGGTAAACGACCCCTGGATGGTTAAGTCCAGTCCAATTTGATTATGGGGTCAAATTCCACATTCAGGTCGAGGGAGCCAGTGTTTGTCTGCAGACAGCTTTCCGGGTCATGTGGCCAGCATGATTAAACTGCTTCTGGCACAACAGGACACCGTAACAGAAGCCAGAGCACACGGAAATGCCGTTTACCTTCCCACCGCAGCAGTACCTATTTATCTACTCACACTGGTATGCTTTCAAACTGCTAGGTTGGCAGGAGCTGAAACAAAGCAAAAAGCAAGGGGAGCTCACCCCGTCACGGGGATTCGAACTGCTGGCTTTACGATTGGCAAGCCCAAGAGGCTCAGTGGTAGACAATACTGGACTAGGTGTACCAATGGTCTGACTCAGTGTAAATAAAAACTTCCTGTTTGCTTCTCATTGAGCAATTTAGTCAAGCCTTCTAACATGGCTTCTCTTATTTCCTCAAATAAAATACCTTGTGCCCTCCAGATCTTATAACCTACAACTCCCATCATTCCTGGCCACTGGCCATGCTGGCTAGGGCTGATGGGAACTGGAGTTCAAAACATACAGAGAGAAAAATGTTGGCTATCCTTGGGCTAGAGGCTTGCTTTGCAAAGCTGAAAGCTGAAAATGGTCCAGAAATCTGCAGGCAAGGGACAAGACTCCCACCAAGCCTGCCTTTAAACCACAGAAACCTGACCATGCCAGGTCTTACACTGGTGAACTAATTGGCAAGGCTGCTTAAAATTCAACCATCTAACCTTTTTTTTAAAAAAATGTGCTCGGATCCTTAACACACACACACACACACACACACTTACTTTCCCACATTATTTTCCAGCCATTTCTGACATTGCCTATGTAAGCATCTTGAAACACTTTTCTAAAAAGAAAGAAAAAACCCAAACACCCAACCCTCGCTTAATCAATATCAAGATTAAACCAATATGTTTCCAGGCTTGGATTGAGATCTGGCTCAGAGTTTGTGTAATGGAGGAGAAGAGAATGGAGCAATTTAACCACATCTGTGGAACAGAGCAAATAAAGGAAAGTTCAAAGAGGTTGCCCCCCCCCCTTTTTAAAGGACTAAAGTTTCAGATTTAAACACAT